TACACTGCTGAGGGAAGCAGCGGGCGGGTCAGGAGAGGTCTGGCTCGCCATGTGGTCTCCTCCGGGGCAGGCAGCAGGCGGCGGGAATCGAACTCTTGCGGGAGTGGCTTAAGCTTCTTTGTGCTGTACTTTAACCCGCTGCGCCACCAGGGAGGGCCCTATTTCAATTTTTAATGAACTTTTTTGGACCAGTGAATTAAGATTCTATAACATATAGAAACTTTTAGAAGCAATTGAAATGTAATTTCTACTGCTGTCTTGAAGTTACAAGCTTTAAGAGTGAGCAGACAACATGTGTGACCTATTGCTTTTTTAATTAAGGATATAATGTTAGCTGAACATTTTTGCCTGATTTATTTCTATTTTATTCAGTTTAGGTCCACAGTCTTTTATCTAAAATCTGCAAAATCGTAAAATGGAAATTGACAGCAATTGTTAACTTGATAGTAGATTTGGATATGGATGTGTTTAATTACTGGATACTGACTTGGTCTTCACTGGGGGCCAGAGGGTAAAAAACTCAAGAGGGTAAAAATTTTTTAATTTTAAAACATGTTCAGCACCAAGATTTTTGGATTGGATTATGAACCTCTATTATAACTCCTGATTAGTATTTCTAAAAACAATTTATATAATTTACCTTTCTGAAGTTGAAAGATTGTTGCTTTTTTTCTGTTAAAATTTTTTAAGGTAAATATTTTAATTTGGTTGTGTCTTTTCATTATAGACACACTAGTCAAAACTAAAAGATTCTTGTTTACTTTTTATATCAGATATGGTGTCAGATGACATCTTTGGTATTTGCCCTTCAACAGGAAGGGTTTTAATTTACTTTTTTTTTTTTCTCATTAATAGAAGTACTTTCTTTATCTAGGATAGCACTGGACTTTATGGTTTTAGATTATTTATAATTTTTTCTTCATTGACATATCTGTATTTTGAATGATGGTAGGCTTTTTTTTTTTAACATGTAGACTATATTAATGAGGTTAGATGTGCTTAAATTTGAGATGTTGAGATGTGCTTAAATCATGGAACAAATTTTGGAGTGTTTTCTAAGACACTTTGAAATGCTAGAAAGACCAGCGTTTTTTTAAACCATAGAATACATTTTCAAGTTTAATGATTCTATCTCAGATTCAACTGATAATTTGTATCTAGAAGCCGTAGGAGACATTTTAGAACATCATTTTCGTAGTCTGTACAATTTTCAGGCACTAATCTACTTCTGAATGACAATTTCTAGTTCCTCAACCCATATTTATTGCAGGAGTTAAGTTACCAGAATGCATTTTAATATGGTGCCAGTTAAAGATTGAAATGTAATAGCCATACATTCCTATTTAGCTTCATTTTTCCACTTGCTGATCTACCTGATGATTTTCTGTGCTCCTCTTCAGTTCTGATTTAGCAGATCGGGGAAATAAGAAAACAGTTACTCTGTCATATGTTGAGAAAGGAAAGTATAAATAGCTGCTTCTGAGTATAATTTTTTTGTTTTATTGAAAAAAAGGTGTCTTGCATGACTTACTTTTTGAAAGTATGAGGTTACTATATTTTCCTCAGTTACATTTTGCAAGGTAGATATTCTTGAATTTTTTTAAAGGTTTATTTATTTGTGTATATAGAACTGGGGTACAGGCCAGAGATGCAGGGGCAGTGAGAGGATTCACCAGAGACAGAGTGGGGAGCAGAACAGGCCAACTCACGAAGTAACACTGCTGAGGGGAGCAGCGGGCAGATCAGTTGAGTCTGCCACACCATGTGGGTCATCTCCAGAGCAGGCAGGTGGGGATCGAACTCATGTTGAAGTGGCTTTAGCTTCTTAGTGCTGTATTTTAACCCGCTGTACCACCAGGGAGGGCCCTATTCTTGAAGTTTTTATCATATTTACATCATTGTAGCAGCAAATAGAATTTTAACAATATGGTAATTAAAGTTCACTGTGACATTTTTAGATAATGAAATTTTGGTCAGCTTAAAAATACAGAGTTTATATATCGTTTGTAAGTAGAAAGATACTTTACTGATTGCCTGATCCACTTCTTCGAAAGACTCTAAATGATTACTTTATCACATTTGAAACATTACATGCTATGGGATAAGCATTGCAGCTGGTACCATTGCTCTGAGCTGTTTGACAAGAACTGAACACCATCTTATTAAATTAGAACTGCAAGGGGAAGTTTAATAGGCAGCACATAATTACTAGACTTGGAATTAGACCAAAGAGCTCAGGTTAACGCTCTGCTCTACTGAACTATGCTCTGAGAACTTCAGCAACTGTGTGAGGATAAGATCTTGGATTTAAAGAAACTTTAAGCCGTGTCAGCACATTTTAACCTTGTATCTAACTGTTCGGAAAGCCCTACACCTCTGGACCATTTTTTAATAGCTTTTGAGATTCCTTTCAGAGTTTTCCATCTTTAGACCTTAACTTTGCTTAAAAATTAACAAACCTTACTTAAGGTCAAAATACCTGAACTGTTTAAGTTTGTGGTGCATGATGTTGGGAGAAAAAAAGGAATGTTGGCCTTTTAGTTGATTTCAATTTGATTTATTAAAAAAGAAATTATTAAACATCCCTTTAGAGCCAGATTTTGTTCAGATACTGTGTAAATGCAAATGATAATGATTTCTGTTCCTTGGTTCACCAGATAAAAGTAGGTAAAATATTCAGTTAATTATTTTGAGGCTGAATTACTACTTTTATGTATGTTAGCTGACATGGAGAAAGAACTGTTTGGGTCTCCCTGTGTTACAATAAATGAAAACACCTATGAGCACCTAAAACAAATAATGTATTATACTCTAACATTTCAGCAAGCCTTTATTATTTTTCAGGTTCATATAAGTTGAAGAGGAGTAAATTCAGGATAGATTTGTCTCTCAGACATGCTAGGGTATTACAATAACTTGATCTTAGGGGAAAATATGAGAAAGTTATAGAATAAGGCACAATTCAAAAAGCTCAAAATGTAAACCTATTTTCTAAATATTATATATATTTGAACAACTTTGAATTACACAGTTCAGGTTAATAATGGTGAAATGTACTAGATGCTTAGATTTTGTTTAGTATAAATCCTGTAAAGGTAGATATTTAGATGATGTTTTAACATAATTTTCATCCCAAGTATTTTTAATAAAGTTCAAAAGTGTATTAGATCCTTCAGCTAATCACATAACAGTTGTCTAAAAGTTTACCTTTCCCAGGTTCTGATAACAGTTGAAGATTTTTATGACATGTCAGAGAAGGTAGACAAACCAGGTATTTGGGAAATTTAGGGAATAAAAGGTTGACTTTTTGGCTATTTTTGCTTACATATCTTATTTCTAGCTGTGATTTGTATGTAACATTTTGTCTCTAAGTTACATATAATCATTGTGATGTCAAAAAGCTTTTTGGGTTCACAATTGAATGCATAAGGAGAAATACTTCACTAAGTTGTAATTGTCACCTTTGATTATTAATGGGGAAGACAATAATGAAAGACCATATGAGAAGCTAAGTCATGATTACGTTTTTACTTTGAGGAATTTAAAAAATGTTTAACTCATTTTCTTTTTATAATCAAGAACAAATGAGTTCTCACTGCTCTGTTATTTTGTGTTCTATTTGTTCTGTGCTTACTCCCCCTAAATTTTTTTTCTTTAAATATTTCATCTTTTAGTTCCATACACTCCAGTTGTCACTCATAGATAACAATCTCTCTTGCTTTCCTGGAGATCATATAGTTAATTGTGAACTTTTCATGCTTATTAGAACATGTTGTTAACTGATTTTTTATTTTCTTCTTCAGTGAAGGGAAGTTCTCATTCCGTTCCTAAACACAGTTTATCTGACACCTTATCTATTACCCCTACTGCTAGGTTGCCTCCATTTACCTCTGTTTAATT